CTAAACCTTGAAAAATGTTTTGCACAAAAAAAGTACAGCAACCTCATCACAAATCACTGCAAGATCCCTCACTAGCTGCTAGGTTACAGCTTTGGTATAGCTCTCAGTTTCTTGCAAACTCTTCTGTTGCAGCTGTTCCATTTTGTATAAATTAAACATCTGGAGTGAAAAAATATTTTCTTCATAGCCTGATTCATGCTGAAAGCAGGATTTGTTAAACATGGGTCTCCCACTCTGCAGATCAATGCTTTAAATGCTATACACTTGAATGTGTAGGGTTTTTAAAGTTTGTCTACGACATCATTTTCTGACATGTCTAAATAGGCATATCAAAAAAAGGTGAAGGTGATACAGAAGAATGAAGCAACCTGCTTCCTCAGACTGTTTTGGAGCCACTCCACAGCTTGTGTCCCCACTCCACCGCCTTCCCCACCAGCAGTGAGTTTCTATGTAGGGGATCTCTTGGCACATTGCCTTGTTCTGTGAGAAAAATCAATGCACAAACCCCAGCTATGACTTTGTTTTGTTACGAAGCCACCACTTTGGCTGAGAAAGAAATTGGAGCTGCAGAATGCAAAAAGCGGCACTGGTGGCAGCAGGAAACTCCTCGGGCAGCAGCAGAGCTTAGGAAGCACCTGTACAAGTGCCAGGCTCTCCAAGCGACAGGGAAGGAGCAGATGGCCTGGCTTTTGAGAGCCAGCAAGGGAAACAAGCACAGAAATGGCAGGGAGAAGCTTGCTACAAAGAGGGAGAACTTTTTGGATCCTTTTGGATCTCTGTTTGCAGTAAACACAGAAAAAAATCAGTCATTAGTGTCTGTTACCCTGTCTCCCACTGGATCGTACAGTCAGTGCTGTATGGCTCCCACCGGCTGCAAGCAAGCTCACACAACAACAAGCAGAGAAGCAAGCGCTCGTCAGACAGCCAAGGGGAAAGGAACTAGGCTGTGCCCAAGGAATAGCTTTTATAAGGTTTCTGACACCCATTCACCAGTCATTTCGGAAAGATTTTAAGAAATGCTTCCTCTTAGATGAATATTTTTGGAATAAATAGGTAAGATTAAGGGAAGCTGCAGTAAAGAGTTACAGCATGGCTATGTTGTGTTTTTTTTTTTTGTCAAATCATTTTCATTAGGGATTTGATAAAGCAGAAGTGGTTGTGGACTCTTCAGTTCCCTGGAGTCCTAGAATACAATCTCTGTCTCACCCTGAGAGGTTCAGGGCTCTCCATCCATGGAGTTTTTCAGAACTTCACTGGCAAACGCCCTGAGCAACCTAATCTAACCTTGCAGTTAGCCGTGATTTGAGCAACTGGTGGGACCAGATAATCTTCAGAGGTCCCTTCCAACCTACATTGTTCAGTGATAATGTGAGTTTTCCAAGAATGGCAATTACTAAATGTGTACTTTCTGGAAGGGCCTGTCATACATAGTATGGTCCTCTTTTTTATTTCACAACACTAATGCGTAACTGGAAAGACAGCTTTATTTTTATAACATCTTTAGCTGTCCATAGAATTTTAGCAGTCAGTCATACTGGCTGCATCTATTTTAAAACCTGATGGCTAACATGTTTTATCAAGGACATGTAAAATTCTGTTGTAGGCAGCACAGATGTTCCACAGCACGTGGAAGGGACCTCTCAAAGGTCAAGAGTAGCTTGGCAGTGATGTAAGCCAGCTTGTCCTTGCTATCCCCAGAGGCATCTCATCTGGACACAGGGACTTGTATTCAAACAGGGTGCTAAAACAGTCCCTGTCTCAATCTTCCTTTGCTGTGGGTAGTCATTTTCTCCCCAAAACTTCTACCTGGGCACTGTAGGCACAAAGACCCTACGAGGACTGAGAACAGACCTTGCCAGTGAGGAGCGAGTCAAAGAAGGCTTTGGGTCACCCCTGCTTTTTCAGTGTCCTTTTAGACTAGGTCACCTACTCCACTGAGCAGTAGCTCCATCTTTACCTTGGTGTTTGTCCCGCTGTGGATGTGCCAGTGGAAGCCATTCTTCGTGCTTTTCCGCACCTCACCAGTTTTAACTTCGGTCCAGGTTTGGCTTTCTTTTAACTGCTTCACTGCATGTCCGTCACACACACAAAGCCAGCCAGGACTCCCTGGCCCTACAGCTGACTGCCCACTACTCTTGTCTTTAGAGACACTCGGGTGTTCTCACAGACAGAGCTAGCCCTCAGAGACTCACTCACACCTTTGCTCCCAAGTCATGTCACCTTCTCACCAGCTCATCCAGCTTGATCTCTACCGGTGCTCACACGCTCACTCACACACCCACACTCACTCCGATCACTGGCACTGGGGACACCCAGGCCCCCCAACCCATGGTCTGACCTGGTGCTGCACTCACAGCCCCGTACACACCCGTTCACACACAGAACGGAGAGCCATCACCCAGGTAAGAGCTGGAAAGGAGTTCAAGAAGAAGACCGGACATACTGCCCTGGTCAGGCACAGGGCACGGCCAGGCAAGCGAACTGACCCGCTAACTATTTACATGCAACTGACCCTTTTTATTCCTTTTATTTCACCACTCTTGTTCCTCTGAAACACCTAAACCCCTCCTTTGTCTCATCTTTGGTTCTCCCCTTAAACATCCCATAACAAGTCCTGTGTGGTCATGAACTGCTTTTCCCCTGCACCCTACAATATCTCCTATCCCTAGGCAGAAAGTCACTCAGTCCAAAAGGTGATCCAGAGGGCTGCTCCCCATGACTCCTGGTGATGGGTGTCACACCTGGACAGTGGGGCTGATGACTGTGCTGCGACAGTCCTGGAGGGACATGGAGAAAGGTGGTTGTTCCTCAGGGGTCCTCAGTTTGGGTTCCCACCTGCCTTCGTGCCCCTGTGTTCCTCTGGGCTTGTGTGGATGGGCCTCTGATGGGCAGATGGCCCCTGTGATGGGCCTAGGAGGAGCCAGGCAGGATATTATCTGGTATCCTCCTCCTGCCATTGTCTCTCTGAACTCCTTTGTGGGCATGCAGATGAAATTTATCGCATAACCTAACAGTCTGGGAAATGCTTCTACATTCCTCCCAGTGAGTCCACCCCTGATTCTGCTCTCCCCCTACACTTTCTTCCAAAATTTAAGCTCAGTCAGGAATTCCTGATCTGGCCAAGCTGGCCTCCTGCCACAGCTTCAACTTCTTGCCCATCAGGGTAGACCACTCTTGTGCTTTGAGGAGATTGTCCTCGAATCAGCTTGTTCTCTTGGTCTCCTTTGATATTCAGTATCCCCTCGGTTCACACCTACCAAGTCTCTGGAAAAGCCACAGTCATTCAGTCACAAAATGTTTCTGTCACACCAAACTCCAGTTCTGTATATTTTTCCCTTTTTAAGGCCATTTTTCAACATTTTCTAAGTAGTAACTTTTTACTAATTGTCCGTTCTGATCATAAAATTCCCCATCCTGCTGACTGACATCTAGAAATGGGTCACTGACTCCATGAGTTTTGCGAATACTACTAGGTCAATTCATATGTAGTAAAATAGCAAAGCACCACTACACTACTGCACCAGGTCACTGAAAGACAACCCAGTCAGTGCTGGTGCCCAGCACCAGAGCATCGACTGATCTGTCCTGGGGTGTTGATTCTGCACGGACAAAGACAAACCGTAGAAGTGGGGCTGAGGCAGAGAGCAGCGGAGGATGGAGAAAGCACCTGGGGCTGTGGAGGGGGGGATCTCCTTGAGAAACCCAATCAGGTCCACTGGGCACTGTCCCATGCCCGTCTAGAATCATAGAATCATAGAATCATTGAGGTTGGAAAAGACCACTATGATCACCAAGTCCAACTGTCAACCCATCACCACCATGCCTGCTAAACCATGTCCTGAAGTGCCACATCTACACGTTTTTTGAACGCTTCCAGGGATGGTGACTCCACCACTTCCCTCGGCAGCCTGTTCCAGTGCTTGACCAGCTTGTCTAAGCTTATTCCCAATTGCAGATGTGCCAGGTGATACACAGATGGACAGATGGACCAGACCATCCAGTGACTCGCACAGGAATGAAATAGCTTTGTGCCGGTGGCCTTAAGACCTGCTCCACCCTGCCCTTCAGCAGTGCACAAGTATTGTATTTGAGAAACAGGAGGAAAAAGGGTGGAGGGAGGGAGGGAGAACCCACTGGCATGAGCCTGTGTAAGTGCAGGAAGGTTTTGTCTCGAATGAACGCTGCTCATTTCAGATGGCGCTTTGTCACGCGCTGCTGTGCTGGCTGTTTCTGGCCCTACAGTTCAAAACCGGTGCATCGGCCTCGGGATGCCGTCGGTTACAAAGCCCTTCATACACGTGCTTCTTCACGTTCTGCATGCAGAAAGCAGAAAACACGATCATATTTGCTAGATTTTATCTGTATTGTTTTTTCTTTCTTTCCTTATACCCTCAACTTCCTGCACGAGTTTTGAGATGAGAAGCAGCCACACCACATACAGCCAGGAGCTCTTGCGGGGTAAGGAAAAGGTCACCGACAAAACTACAAGGCACAGTGGTGACATTTGGTCCTCCCACACTCTTCTCATGTGTGAGAACACATAGGAAAAACATAGTACATTCCAGTTGAGAGAGCAGAATGCGTTACTGAGAGGAGACAGGCACCGTGCTTGTCACCACCGGCATTCTCGTTTCCCCACCGAAACCCCTCAGCAGCACATGAAACAAAATTAATAACTTCCACATGGAAAAACAGGCTGCTCACAAGTGACACAGATGAACGAGCTGGAAAGCCCCAGCAGCCTGGCGTGGGCAAACTGCAAATAACGACTCGCGGGTGCCGCTTTCCAGGATAATTTTCTCTGCTCTGGGTCCAGCAGCTTGAGCCTGGTGCCCTGTGCTCAGGGTGGGCCTGTGCTTGCCAGCAGCACTCGGAGGAGGACCTGTGCTTGAAGGCTTTGCAGTGTCAAACTTGCATGCTGTGAGGGGGGTTCAACCCAAAATATGCCATCAGCATGCACGACGTGCGTGCATCCACAGCTAGACGCAGCGGTAACAGCGATGGGCCACGGTGTGTCTCCTGCCCAGGAGGTGGCACGGACAGCGGCAGGCAATGGCAATGGACCCTCTGCACACCCCTCGTCCCTCCTACGGGTACCTACCTCGTACCCTCCAGGGTATTCTGATCATGAGATCATATCCTTGCCTACAGCAAAAATAAGATTAAACTGGCCATATTCAGGACAACTACAGATGCGAAGTAAGTTTTTCAAGGAATATAGGTAACTGGGCTTGAGAAAGCAATTTCACACCACTTTCTAATCTATCATTCTTAAACATGAGGATGCCTAAGATCTAATGGTGTTTCCCTTCAGACAGAAAAGTCACAGATGCTTAAACATGGGTGTATTAACAAGTTCAGAAGTGTCCATTAGTGGCTCAGAAGCAGGCAGAAACTAAGATATTTCTGATTTTTCCAATGTATTAGTTCAAGGGCACCTCCTCACTGAAAATTCGGTAGCAATGAATCAACATACATGCACACACAGAGCATTTTTACTTTTGAGAACAGCTGCACAAGTAATTTTTCTGTGACTTTTCAGGACAATTAGAAGAGTTCAGGTCTGAAATCATATAGACCTGAGAAGCTGCAACTGTGTAAAATAAAAAGATAAAAATGCAAATACCTGCAGCTATAAACTCAGCAGTCAGTTTTACGTCTACATTAGTGATTGCTTCAGTGAACTAGTTAGAGGTCAGATAGACAGAAATTAAATCACTTCATTCAAAGGAGGCAACAATCTACCGGAACAGACCAAAGGAGCCAGACAAATGCAGCAAACCCCCAGCTTCAGTCGCTCAGAGGGAGCAAAGTCCATCTCTCCGCTTGCCACGCGATTTAACGCAGGGCAGTGTCAGCAGGGCCCTGCACTCTGTATACAAACTGCACAGCAAAAACAGAAAAGGGTTATGAACTTTCGAACAGCTTCTGTGTGCGCCGAGGCAGAGAGAGAAAAGCATGCAGTATCCTTTCAGAGCTGAGAAAATGCTGAAGATGCTTAAAAGAAAAAAAAAAGACGGTGAAGCATTGCAGTATCAGATAAGCGGACAAAGGTCTGAAAGCCAATTACCTAGTTAATCAGCTGGATTTTATACTGCACCCGCAGTTGGCAATGTCAGTATACTGTTACCCACCACAACACAGCGCTTTGCATCGTTCCTGTCGCACAATCACTTGCACCCTTGTAAGTGGGAAGAATAGTTATCTTGAGCCTGGTTTGCAAATGAAAGGAGGCCTGTGCAATTGTTTGGTTTGCTCCTGGTTTGCCGATCCTACGTCTGTCAGCCCTTTCCCTCCCCCAGAACCGTGAATTTATCGGCCAATTGCAACGCAAGTGTAGTGGACTGGGCTGCAGAACTGCTGTTCTTGTTATTTTACTCTTAAATTTACATCTCACTGGGGGGGTTCTGCCTAGGTAGGGTGTGTATCGCTGTAAATGGAACCCACACTGTCCTGTCCTGAGGAGATTAACCCTCCCTAATATCTGATACTCAGACATTAACTTATGAAGAAGTGTTTTGTCATCAGAAGTAATCTTAAAGAATTTACAAGAGGAGAAAATGCAATCAGACTAGAAACTAACAACAAAGTGAACAAGACAATACCACCATGCTGAAGACAACAACTGGGTGACGGCAACCAGCTAAGAAACAGAGATTTGGGTTTGGGAAGGGAGTGCTGGTGCGCAGGCTGTCTCCGGATGGTTCACCTGGGAAACAGGAGCACGACGCGGCCCATGTTCCCAGCAGTGGGTATGGCTTCACAGAAGACACAAATAGGACATTTTTTGTGTCCTTTAGATGGCCGCCAGTGCAGGCTTAGAGCTGAGGCATTGTTGTCTCTCGGTCTTGTCTGTCTGTAGCTCAAGGGTAGGTTCAGTGGGGCTGCCCCCAGGAAAACACAGAGCAACTCACAGGTTAATTAAGTGTCCTATATGCTGCAAGCGCCCATGCACAGCGCCCAGAACACAGCTCTCCAGGAAAGCTCCTGTGGATGCAGGCCAGGGAGTTGAAAGAAAGTAGAGGTGAGCGCGATGCCTAGGCACTGAGTTACCAATGTGTTGCTCGCAGTAGCTGGTGTGTGTGGTTGGATGGCACACAGCTCTTCACAGCTGTCACTTTGTGCTAGCTGGTTTCCTTATCCCAGCCCCTTGATCATTTTATTCTCAGTGTTCACCTCAAACCTTCTCCAAATGTTATGACAGCATTTACCCTGTGGAATTGGGAAGCAATGAGAAGACGAGTCACTGCTATTCCAACAAAAGCCAGAAAAGGCATAATTTCTTTAATTATTATAACAGCTTCTGCTCTTTTCAGTTCAAATACTCTTATTCGTAAGCTCTGCTGAGAAGTGACAGCCAGTGATTGCAGGTGTCCACATGACAGCCAGTGATTGCAGGTGTCCACAAGACTGGGAGTGATTCACAGCAGTGCTGTGGATCCTGTGGTATCGTTGTAATCTAGATATTACATTAAAATGAGTCTTCTTGATTCCTGAACTGTCTGTGTAGCGATTGAAGCAGCCTTTTTTTCTATCATATGGACAATTCACTGCTAGTATAAGTGAGCTCACTTCCATTAAAGGCAGGGGCATTGTTTCCATTTCTACCAGAGTGCTGGCCACACTGCACACCTGGGCGAGAAACAGAGGCCAACCAGGACACAGGCAAACACAATCATAAATATTTCTAACAAATTTTTTCCTCACTGAGGAAGAAACATTTTCCAGGGTTTCCTAGAAGCACTGAAAAGACGCACAGCGTGTATTTTCTTACCTATGTTTGCAGGTCACTGTTGTTTCTGACGGGTTCAGTCCCACCTGCTGCACACCACCTCCTACCAGCAATTTCTGCTGTGAAGGATTTTTTGTGTCCTCAGACATTTTTTGGGTGCCAGAACTATCTACATTTGACAGACAGTAGGAAAGAAAAGCATAAATCAAACTTGTGAGCGATCAGACCTTGGGAATGGCTGGGGGGTGGTTTGTCATCCCTTGCTGCCCCACAAAGAGAATCCGCAGAGCATGCAGGTAGCAGTGCGAGCTAGGGGCTCTTCTCTTACAGCACTCCTAGCAGTACGTATGCAGGCTGACAAATTACACGTAATATTTATAGAAGTCCCCTGCTGCAATGCATGGCGTCAAAGCAGAGGCTGGCAATGACGTGCCCGAAGTATTGCTATCTTCTGATCTCTCACACCCACTTTCTAATCACCCCGACCAAAGATTTAGTGTAAGCGCTGGCAGAAGAGTGGACACACTTTGATAAGAGCGGGATCAGTTTAATTTGCTGTCTTGGAAATTCACATAGCTCAGAGGGCTCCAAAAGTTGGCTATCAGTTTGTGAGACGCGCTGCTTTTAAAAAGTGTAATTTTCCTTATAGAAGGCAAAAATAATCACTAGGAAGCTAGTTCAAGAAGGATACAGATCCACCAGGCTTCCCTGCAGTCTCAGGGGAAATTTGCAGTTTACATTTCTGTAGGGTCCTGTGGAGGATACTGAATTCCTGTGGAAAGAGGTCACTCAGCTTAAGGTCGTCAGCTTGGGAAAACTGCTCAGGAAAGAAGTGAAATCCAGCTCACTCCACAGACCTAAGGGGACGCAAGACCCTTGTTAAGACACACTGCTTCTCACCTCCCTCCGTCCTTGTCCTTCCTCATTTTGATGACAAACGAACCCTAATTCTGGGACAACAATTTCACTCTCTCTTCTGCTCTCCCCTCTGCAGGGAGGAGCTGTTTCACCCTTTCTCTGCCAAGGCACCGTTACCATCTTGCTTACGCCTCTCATGGAAATACTCTTGGGCCCCAAAGTTTGCAAGGAGTGAGTCCATGCTCACATTCATACTGGGAAGGAAAGTACCACCTCCTGAGCCCCTGGGAGCATGTGCTTTCACTGGCCTTGCTGCTGCCCCCTCAACTCCGCTTGTCCTATTTATTCGTCCCGATTAGCTGCCAAGGCTTGTCGAAAGGAGGCTTGACATTTAATGCCTTTGACATTCCTTATGTAGTTCGAGGCGTTACAATATCACCTTCCAGAGCCACCGAGCCTGCACTCACCTTATTTATTTATTCTTGATGAATCAATGTCATATCTGAACAGAATAAAAAAGTTTTCACACATCAGTTTACTGAAAAATAGTGTTTTTTAAAAGTTTTAAACTTTTTAATTAACTATTCCTTTGCTCCACTCTAAAAGCGGCTCTTAGACTTACTGAACATAGGAATCTTCAACGCCCAGAGCAAGCAGAGATTGCAGTTTTACTGCATAAACTGCTTAGGATAACTAGTTCGTGGTTCTTCCCCAACGTGGTATGCATTTAGTTAACGAAATTGAAGAACAGCAAGTTGAAAACACACCCAAACAAACATTAGGGGAAAATTAAACCAAGTTCAGTACTCTCTCTTGTGTATAACAAAAGATCACAAAGTTCAGCTATGAATACCTTAGATTCATATTTACAGGATGATGAAAACAAGGAACAAATAAAGAACAATAGCCTGAGCCTGCCAAGGCAAAGCTCGTGTGCTTTCTGAAAGGATTATGGGGGAAAACTTCCTTTATCAGCTATTTCTTACTGAACTTTCTCCCACGGATCTTCCTGCGTGTTCTGCAGAACCTGCGATGGGGACCACTGAGGGGACACAAGCAGTGCCAGGAAGAGAGAACACTGTTACCTCTCTGACAAAGAGATGAAACTGTTAGGAAGAGATATAGAAGATTTCAGGTGGAAAGGACCTGCACCGATCATCTAGTCCAACTGCCTGACCCCTTCAGGGCTGGCAGCCTGAGAACGCCACTCTAGAACTGAAGCTTCAGTTCTGAGGAAAACCCTCCCAAAGTCTGCATCATTTCTCAGCAAGCAGGATCACAAAAATTCAGATTATGTGCTTAGCGTATTGCTTACCCAGTGGAGGTCAGCGCACAGCATTTCTTGGGTCTTTCAGAGCTGCTTAGTCCTAACCGAGGTGCGTCGCAAGTGCCCTTTCTCACAGTCAACCAGTTAAAGATGGATGCTTGGTAATTAATAATAATTTATTAATAATCTATAGTTAGCGTTATTCTGACTTTGCATAGCTTCTCTAGTTTAGATTTTGAGCCTTATGTTGGCTTCCGGCTGAGGAAGTAGGATCGCCCTGTTTGGAGAGGACAGTGGGGAACCGGCTTCCCTCTTCCAGAGCACGCCGAATGCTTCGTTAGGTCATTTCACAGCCTCGGGTACCCACGATTTGCACACTGGTCTTGGAAATTAGCGTGACAACCCATCCATGCCTATCTGCAAGGGAGAGAAATAAAATACCCCGTTGTGTGTCGGTGGCTTGAACTGTGTTTTTACGACGTCTGTAATTGCCTGAGGTAAAGTGGGATTCAGCTCCGGATTCAGCATCATTTAAACCCAAACCAAGCGGGAGCAGCAGCCCGGGGTGGTTTGAGCTCACTCGCTGGCCGGGGCACGCTGCTGCCGCGGGATCTCTCTCCGGACACAGGCTCCGGGAGTCCGGCGAGCCCTTGCCCGCGACTGACTGTTGCGAGCTGGCGCCGACAGCTCC